TTTCTTAATTAAGTGAGCGTAGCCAATTAGTTGTAGAATTTTCCAGCCATCGATTTGTAGCCACGAGCAACTTCGGATGCTAGTTTAAATGAATTTTTCGATTTCCTATTGTTTGAGGGGCATAAAAACTAAGTGTGCGTAGAAATCGAAAATATGTGGATGTAATGCACCAAAACATTACTCAGAGGTATACACACATATATCATATGTATGTACATAGATATATAAAATACAGATTTGTGGCGATGTGTAAAGCTAAATATATTTGGGGTGTTCATAACGGTGTCTTAAGTGGCGTATTGTTATATGTCGTAAACTGTAAAAGATTAAATAAATCATTATAGGACTTGAAACTAAAACGAATTATTCTTTAACACTGTAAAAATTCATAAAAAAGAATTTTTTAGCCGTTTACGACACCTACGACACCGTTATGAATAAGCCTATAGATTCGAAACTGCACTCAGAATATACAACTAAATACATATATATTTGTATTTTGATATCTATATATGAACGTACATACACACATAATTTCCATATAGACATACATTAAGATGCCTCGGAAAGTTGCTGCTTCTGCAAAGAAATTAAAAAAATTTGGTAGATTTTATCTCTTGAGCCAGAACCTTCTGTCCGAATTCAGTGCCTAAGCTCATTTCAAAGGAGAGAGGTTTAACTTTTTAGGAGCACATATTTTCAACGTTTTACAAGATATTTTGGTGGAATCCATGAAATAGACTAGGGCCTTTAGTTTACAGCTCACCTTATATTTATTATATTATTATATTAAAATTTATAGTTGTGTCTAATGTAAAGCATTTATATTATGGGTTTTTGACGTATGTATGTATGATTCTTAGTTGTTAACCAATTTAAAACCGACAATGAAAAGCTTTACTTTAGACGCTACTATATGTAAATTTGAATGCAATCTTTCAATATAAAGTGAGCTTTAAAATTAACTCTTGTTTTTATGGTGCGAGAGGCAGTCTAATCTAATATTCTACACAATACAAATATAAGCTGAAGGTAGTTGCAGAGTGAACAGCTGTGATTTCTGTGCTATTTGCCATATATGATTCTACGAATTGTTCTAAATTATTCAGCATTTAGCAAGAAGCTCTCAACAAAGGTCTCCAATAATGAACAGCCATTCCCTGCAGTGCTGCAATAAGATGTCCCACATAAACGCACATATATATATGTGCTTTCGCACGAATATACTCAAAGCAATATGCACTATATGTCCCCAGAATCGTACATTTATAGGTACACATTTCACTTGTAGTACTTATTATAAGCGCTTAGTAATATGCAAGAGCATCTAACCGAGACCGTCTGTCATTTTGGCTATCCAAAGTTGTTTTGTCCGACAATCTTGCTATTGCCTGCCTGGTTGACTGCTGACACCCTTCTTATCGATGGCCTTCTGGTTAGTTGCTTTCTATGTACCTGATTTCATTTCGTCCCAGTTTGTCCGCCTTTCAGCAACTAATAGGAAATCTTGACTGCATTTTGTAAGTACGAGTACTATACATCTGTATGTACATAGGTACTAAATAGTCTGGGAAATTGTTTATCGTGTCCTAATTTGGCATTTGCTCATAACGTAGACAATTTAGTTTTGCATATTTTAAATTGTTTCATTATTCCGCATTAACGCACATACATTTCATACACAAATTCTAAATTGGGGTCTTGGGCTTACTCAAATAGTTACCATTGTTAAAGAGATTTGTAGCGAACAATTAAGATACTTGGCAGCTGTAAATTGCTTTAACAATTCTGAATATGCATGTATGTATGTCACCGTTTATGCGAATTATATGCGTACATAAGTATTTATAAGTACCCTTTACAAATATTGGCACTAAAATTTTAAAATATTTCAATTATATAATTTCTTGGTAAAAGATATGATTTATTTTTTTTAACTTATCCTTATGCTTTGCGTTTGAATAAATATCGATAATTAGAATGAATCTGACAGGCACTACAGATTTGCATCGCCTCCAATTTGTTAGTTTGCATACGTACATATGCGGGGGCGATAGGTTCCTCCCTGTGGGAGGAAATATGCATACAAATTTGCCATCATTTAGCTTAAGATAATAATGGTAAAAAATATTTTAAGATCTCAAATATTTAAGATCCCTTTTCAGAGATAGTAGTCGAGAGATCTTGTTTTAATTTAAGCAAGGAAGGTTCTATCGTCTTTAGTTTCTTTGCTGGAGCTTCTACAATATTGCAAAACCGCGATTTTTTGACACTTTGACCTCATTTTTTTTTTTAATCTGGAGCTAATGGAAACCTTATGCTTACGGATTCGTAATCAGCAAAAAAAAATCTATCAACAAATAATTTTTAGCAAAACAACAACTTCAATTTTTATATAAAAAAATATATATATATATACAAATATATTTCATGATCCAATGATCGGATTTAAACCAGATTTATATCGGATACTACCTCCTCTGGGATACCACCTTTCCGATGCAAAAAGAATTATCGAAATCGGTTGATCCAAAGTTTGCGGTAACATACTTAAAAAATATTCCGACGAACTGATAACCTCCTCCGTTTTTTGCAAGTCGGTTAAAACAGCTTTAACATTTGCCGTACCAAATTTTTTTTTATACTTATGTTGGGCTGTGTTATCGATTAAAAAATGAAAAAAATACAGATTTCCACATTTTTCTACAGAAATACTTCCTTATGTGATCTATAACACCCTTCGCTTCCCTATTTAGTTATTGTTTTGCAAAATTATTCAATGCATTTGCTGTAGTCTGATCCCCCAGAAAGGTCATAAAAACGTGAACTGTGAACAATTTTCAAAATCGGATAACGGAAAAACGTTCCTCAAAGTCCTCTCACCAAATTCATGGAATTTTTCACAAAGCGGTCAATATTTTGCCTATAAATCAGTGGCAAATTTAATATATTTTTATGGCACTTGGTGTAGTTTTGCCCCGATGTCAAAAATAGCTTCAATATTTTAAACCTCCCCATATTTTAAAGTTTTGATGTTTTTTTGGGAAAAGCCGTGAAGCCTTTTGAAAAATTCAACATAGCGTCTCAAATACGAAATCTAAACTAAGCGTAAATTCGATTTCGCTTTACAAATTTTGTCCCACTGGGGAACTCAACATTAAAAGAGAAAAGTAGCCTACAACCTTGGCATTTGAACTTGTTTTTATATAAAACATTGGGGAAACTAAATTCCGGGTCCCCTCGGTAATTATGGTTATCGAAGAAGACCAAATAAGATCAAAGGATTGTTCTGGTCCTAGAAAAGAACTCATTGCCTTTGATCACACAATGACCCGGCACTCTACTCTGTCTTTTTTGCAAACAGAATTTTAAGCGCTTGCAGTTTTTTTACTAAAATTTAATAACCTACAAAACTGCTTACTCAAATCTTTCTAAGAAATCGAATTTTGATTAAAAAAATTTATTAATTTTAATTAGTTTTTATTTATTAATTAATTAATATATTTATTAATAATTATTAACAGTAAAAATAAACATAAGTTGCCAACAACATATTTTGAATTTTTATGCTATTATTTTACTCATAGCTATATATAAATACATATGTAAATTTATATTTAAAGTTCGTTTTATTTTTATTATAAATAAGGAACTGTGCATCATATCGGCAAAATATGCTGCACGTGCATTCATGCCGCCTCGACCTACAATCCCTTTAACTTTCATAAAAATAGGTCGGGCACAGAGGAGCCGCGAAAACGCTTGAGTTAAATCAACTCAAAAAAGCCACTCCATTAAGGTCATTTCAACAACACTTCTCTTTGAAGCCTCAAAGGCTTGCAAGAAAACTCCGAGTTATTCCGCTGCTCTTCCACACTTCATCAAAAAAACAACAAAAACTCAAACAATAAGTCATGTGCGGATTTGTAAAATAATTATTCAAAATTTATTTAAAGCTAATTTTGTTTTTTTTTTTGTTATTTTGGTATAACTAAAACCATATATGTATATATCGATGGCTGAGTGGAAGATCGACCTTTCTCGGTAGCCAGTTCAAAAGCGCCCTATCTTAGAATACTTTTCAAGAACGTCCTATTTCAGAATTTTATTAAAAAACACCCTATCTCAGAATTTGGTTTTTGGTTCAAAAACGCCCTATCTCAAAAGAAAATACGTTGAAAATAAGCTGAGATACGACGTTCTTCAACCAAATTGTGTGATAGGGCGTTTTCCAAGCAAATTCAGAAGTAGGGCGGTCTTTAAAAGTTTTCTGAGATAGAGCGTTGTCGAAAAAATTTCTGAGATAGTTCGTTTTCGAACTGGCTGCCGAGATAGGTCGATCTTCCACTCAGCCATCGATATGTATATCATAGTTTCAAACTTGTTTTTGTACAATTATGTAGATATAATATATGTACGTATATAATATATGTACGTTCATATGTAAGTAACTTCTGAATAAATATAAAGGCGTGAAGTATGAATTTTATCGTTAGCATTTACATACTCACATATGTACATACACATGTATAACATATGGGCCATATGTAAGTGTGCATGTGTGAGAATACACATGCGTGGGTGCATAAGCAAATTAAAATTGCCATTCCAGAGAAAAATCATTTTAAAAAGTCAATCAATCATTCGATGACAGACTTGAAATTAAAATAATGGCAAGCTGCAGAATTACAGAGGCAAAAGTACTGAGAGCAAAAAGTGAAAAGAAAGCAAAAAAGGATAAAGGGAAATTGCCAATTGATTTCTGCATTTAAGGAGAAATTAAACTTGCGTCAATGTTTTCATTTAATTATGCAAATGTTGGTCCGTAAGTAGTCCGCTTGCTAAATACTACTTACAGACATCCCGAATCAAGTGTCTTAACGCAGTCGCTGACAATCATTCGTAAACTAGCATACAAATCCACTTTGCAACTGCCGCCTGTAATTTTTAATGTGTACTGTTTTAACGCTTTTCTTATTTTCCGCTCTTCTACTTCACAGTTTCGCCCATTTGCCGGCCTAGCCAGCGCTTTGCTTACAGTTCCGGTCGACATGAAATGGTTAAAATTGCCTGCGAAATTGAAGCGAATCCGTTGGAGGCGACATACATCTGGAAATTCAATGCATCAATCGGCGAGACTATTGACATACCAGCATCACTCATAGCGGTGGATCGAGGAAGAAGCATAGCACACTACACGCCCATGACGGAGAATGTAAGTGCGAAGAAAGCAACGGCCGGAAGGCTTGGTTGAGAAGAAGAATTGCGCGTGGATGAGCAGCTGCTGAGTGCCGTCAAGATGATTGCTTTACTGGTTAGCTGAGTGTGAGCCTGGCTTTTCGGTCCAGTTCAGTTGATCGAATGTCAGCCGCATGAATTATGAAGTGGCGCTCGGTGTGCTACTGCTGCAGCAGACAAAATGCGATGTAGTCTTCACGTGACATTTGCACCTTCAAGCAAGCAAGTGCCCAAACACAAGGCAGTATGGTAGTCTTTGCTTGTTCGTGTGGGGCAATAAATCATAACTTTTCCGATAGATTCGCACAATTTTCCGACTGAATTGCGGTTTTGAATTTTCAATGAACGCAAACCCAGCCAAAGCAATAGCAGCAGGGTCAGTAAAAGCCAACAAAGCCGCCAAACAGCTGGGGGTCAAAGTTAGCCGACTGGTTGCAGGAAATTCGTTGGCAGTAGGTCGTTAAACGCCTACCCCATATTTGTTCGGTCTGACATGCAAATTTGACTATATGTGATTATATATGTATATATGCCTGCCTCATGTAAGCATAGTAATAGATTTTGCTCCCCTCTGCGCAATTTTCTTTGCACCTTTTTCCCTCAGTCATTACGCCTTTTATTTCTCATTCTCTCATTCGGTTTTTCTTTTGCAGGACTATGGCACTCTGCTGTGCTGGGCCAGCAATGAAATTGGCGACCAGAGTGAGCCGTGTGTTTATACTATCACACCAGCAGGTAGGTTCGAACCAACAATAGCACAGATTGTGTTGCGTTAAGGTACAATGTTTTCAGCATAGTGTAAAAGAAACATGCATGCAAAAAATGGGCAAAATAAGTAAAATGCCATGCTCCTCACCACTGTTGCCAACTTGGTGCTTTTCGCAATAAATTTAGTGCTTTTCTTTATTCAAAATGCGAAAATTTATGAGCTTGGTGCTTTTGCTTTTAGTTTGAAAACACCAAATCTGTGAATCTTAACAAAAAGTGGAGTAAAAATTATGGGCTTTAATTGCGCATAGATGTGGCCGCGGTGACATGAAATGCCTCATATCAAGAAAAATGAAAAATTCATATAAAATGACGTTCAGGAAAATAAATATTCTTCAATAAAATTTACAGCAACCGGAAAGTACTTTTTCAGGCATCAGAAACAATGAAGAATATTTCTTAATATACATATGTATGTACATTAGACTGCATCACTCCCCATACATAAAAAACTGGACTGTTTTTCCAATTATAAAATATATTATATTCTAAGACTTCCACCAAAATATCTCGGAAAAATATTAAAATTTAAGTGAACTGGACCGATTTGAAAATACCTCGAAAAATTCAGTTTTTTTATTAATAAGTTTTAAGTATTTAAAAAAAAAAATCACCTTAGATGACAAAACAGTTTAAGCATAAAAAATTGCATAAAAACAGTTAAAAAAATATTACAACGGAATCATATCAAAGAAATTTTTGAACTTTTTCAAAGACTGGTTTAAGAAAAACTTTATTAACTCAACCAAAACTTTACCAATTTAGACTTATGAGGTATCATTGGTAAGGTACTTTCTCAGCCTTTTTATTTATTTGCAGATAAGCTCATTCAAAGTGTGAAAGGGGAAGGTAAGATAAACGAGCTCCATTCCATGTTGAATTATTTATTTATTTTTATTTATATAATACTAGTCAAATGAACAATATATACTTACTGACTACTGAACAAGTTTACTAAAAGACTAGTAGTGCATGGGGTAGTGCCGGATCATGATTTGGAACATTATTTAACTTTAAGAGCGCTCTTGAGGGTGAAGCAAATTTAGCGTAATTATACTTAGAAGCCTCCACGTAGAACAATTGAGAATGGCGTAGGATTGGGCAATCGACGGAGCTGCTCATAAGATGTGCAACAAAAAAAACCAAGCTAAAAAGCATATCTGTGATATAAAGAATTTAAAACCAAAAGCTGACAACGAGATTCGTAAGGTGATATAGGTTCACTGAAATTCAGTGAGCGAAGAGCCGATTTGATGAAAACTTGTTGAATTCGCTCTATTCGGCTTATATGCGAGGCAATATATGGTCTCCAAATAAAGCAAGCATGGTCAAGCCTAGATCTTACTATTTACATTTTAAGATCGTCTGCATATAGCAGGAAATTAGAAGTTGCGAAACAAGTGCCGATGTCGTTTATAAATAATGTAAATAACAAACGTCCTAAGATGCTGGCCTGGGATACGCCAGAAGATGCAACAAAAGGTTGGGAGGAGACATTATCTATGGCAACCACACAGAGCCTATTACTCAGATAGGACTTAATCCACTAAAGGAAAGTGGAATGGAATCCTAAAGCCGAAAGTTTGGATGCTAACAATCTTTGAAACTCTGTCGAAGACTTTCGAAAAACCAGTGTAAACACAGTCGAAACAGTCTTCCGCAAAATCAGCAAGGTTTGTTACTTTTGATCTACACTTGAAAAATCGGTGTTGGTTACAGCAGATAAGACCACTAATCGTGAATGAGAGTTTGTCTTTAACAACAATCTCGAAAATTTTAGAGACCGTTGATAATTTCGAGATGGGTCAATAATTATCTACGTCGTTCTTGTTGTCGCTTTTAAAATTTGGATTTATATGTAGATCAGAGGTGGGCAGCTTCGGCACAGCATTTTTGTAGTGTGCGTGCAATTAATGTCACTGTGTGTGTGCGAACATGTCGTGGGGTTGAATGAAGCTTTCGCTGTCATCCCAAGCAGAGCGTGTATGTATACGCCATTATGCCGCGCAGTCGCCCGCCGGGCAGACGCTGCCCAGCTGTGTTATGGATGCTCTTTTCCAGTCATCTATAAAGACACCCGATGTTAAGGACTTATTGAAAATAAGTGTTAGCGGCTCAATCAGGGAGGAGCACTTTTTGAAAATAATCGCCGAATGTCCATCGGCGTCCTTTTGTTTAGAGGATTTTAGTGATTCGATGCCTCTTCTAACGTCTTCATAGGTTACAAGGAGGGAACCGAGAGACAGTGCCGAGTCTGAAATGGAACTATCATCGAAAGGTAGCTCAGCATCGGATACGAAATTGGCACAAAAAACTCAACAAAAATATTAGCGGGATCAACAAGCTTGCATGCTTATCATTATGGAAGACGGGGGAAGGAATGCCAGAACCTGTTTATTTAGACGTGATATAACTTCAAAAAGCTTTTGGGATATTTTTGATGTTCGATTCATAATTTTTATTGTACCTATCATAAAGACGCTTATCGGGGGCGTCGATGCTCTTACGGTAACGCTGATAACGCTCAAGGTACAATGTATGCCCAGAATTTTTAATTTTTTTAAGAATTTATTCTTCAGATTTTTTAGACGTTTCAGCTCTTTTGTATACCATTTTTTTGTGTATTTATAGGGTTTACTAGTGAATGTGCGGATGAGATCCACGCAAACATTAAAAACTCGAGATTTAAATGTGGTGAAGGCATTCGTGGTATCCATTTTAGTCAATAGCGTGTTCCAATCGATTCTTGGCACTTGTGAATTTAGTTTATTAAAGTTCGTAAAATTGGAGTATGATTTCTAAAGGAATATGGTAGGCGTTTCGCGGAGAAATTGGTGATCCCCCTCCCCTAACTTCCAAATGTTTGTCTAGATATTAAAAAATAGTACCTGGAAATGCTCGCTCGATAATTAAAAGTTATTCTCAAAAATCCTCTCTGATCGGCGCAATCTTGTATTCTATCATTCTTGGTTTAATTGTTTATTACTTTGTCTTTAAGTTTGTGTTTTCTTAAGTACATCGGAAGTTTTGTATAACAGAACCAATCTGAGATTGTTGATAAAACTATGGACCGGTTTGGTGAACAGCCAAGAAGTTTTACTTCTTAAGTAATTACAGCAGATGGCAGAAAACACATAGCGTACATACATTTCTATAATAAAAATAGCATATTAGAGGCTGCTAATATATCTATTTAAAATTATTGTTAAATCATTAGTTAAACTTTACTACGAAAAAATTACAAAGAAATTACACCACCTAAAGCCGCTTTCGACAGCACTTCAAGGAGTCGACTATACGCCGCTATGTCTGAATTTGGCAACCCCTCAAAACTCATAGGGCTGTGTAAAATTTCGTTGAGCAATACCACCAGCTCTGCCAGAATTGGGAAAGACCTCTCCGAACCGTTCGCCACGAAATGGGCTTTCAGACAGGCCAAATACTTTTTATGTGACTTCTTTAATCTGATATTGGAGAAGATAATAAGAGCTGTAGAACTGAACCGCTCAGGAAAAATTTACTACAAGAGCGTACAATTGCTGGCTTATGCCGATGACATCGACATCGACATCATCGGTAACTAAGACCGCGAAGTCTGTTCTGCCTTTTCCAAGTTGGATTAGGAAGCAAAGCGAATGGGTCTGGCGATAAACGAGGACAAGACGAAGTACCTCCTGTCATCAAACAAACAATCAGCACATTCGCGATTTGGCACCCAGGTCACTGATTACAGTTATAATTTCGAGAAAGTGGAGAATTTCGTTTACTTGGGAACCAGCATTAACAGCATCGAGATCCATTGCAGAATCACTCTTGCCAACAAGTAATACTTTGGACTGAGTAGGCAATTTAGGAGTAAAGTCCTCTCCCGACGTACGAAAACCACACTCTATAAGTCACTCATCATGCCCGTGCTTGTATATGACGCAGAAGAATCCGATGAGTTGGCTCTTGGAGTATTCGAGAGAATGATTTTGCGGAAGATTTACGGGCCTTTACGCGTTGCCGCCGGCGAGTACCGCAGACGATGGATCGATGAGCTGAAAGTATTGTGGCTTCACTTGGCATTTCCAATTGGTGTCAGTTGGCACTGAAGAGAACGCTTTGGCGGTTACAGCCAAATAAGAAGAAGAGAATAGAGCTATAACCTTATCAGTCAAACGGTGTTATAATCCCGACGAAAGCCTTGACGGAGGTACCGGGAGGGGAACGTTGGTTAAAGTCTCACACTGACGGGGTTAAGCTTTCGATGCTTCCTCCTCGTAAAATAAACGCAGTAAAAAGTTAACTATTTGAATTGATGAATAGTTTTATATCAACTTTTGTGAACCTCTGTTTATGTATTTTTGTACAACAAAATTTTAAGCTATAATAAACAATTTTTTAGTATGTTATTAGTTTTGATTTTTTTTTTTGTGTAGGTGTGTAGTCTTTGTCGTTAAAGTTTTAGAGCAGTTATTCAAGTTTTTCTTAAACAAATCTTTGAAAAAAGTTAAAAAAGCAGCGTCAAATATTTCATTATTCCGTTGAAAAAAATTTGTAATATTTTTATGTAGATTTTTTAAGCTTAAACTGTTTTGTCATCTGAGGTGATTTTTTTCAAAAAATTCTTTAAGAAACTATTTCTATTCATAAAAAACTCCATTTTTAAAGATATTTTCAAACCGGTCCAGCTAACGGAAATCTTAATACTTCTTCGAAATATTTTGGTGGATGCCTTAAAATACAATAATTTTGTAATACAGCTGGAATAGCGCAACTTTTTTTTGCTGATGCAAAGTCTAATTTACATACATCTTGAGAGCTGTATACAAAGCTTACACTACAAAGCACAAATATTTCGACGAATTTATAACCTCCTCCGTTTTTGGAGGTGGTTAAAAATTACAGCACCATTCGCACTTATAACAAATTTTTTGCTGCTAGCAATTACACGCACCCAATCAATTTTTTTTGCCCACATTCTAGATTAGCGCCAAATCAAAGACTCTGTTTACGTGCGTAGCATACATATTCAAATTTAAAACAAATTCTTATCACATTCTCTTAATTTTTCCCTATAAACTTACGTTCTTACAAACCCAAGTTCTAAAACTAAACGCAAAAAATAGATTCACACTAACACTTTTTTACACTTCACAGGCGAACCGGATCCATTGGTTAACTGCACGCTACTCAATCAAACGTCGACTGGCTTTCAAATTGAATGCATCGAAGGCTTCGACGGCGGTCTACAGCAGGATTTCATTATGGAAGTGTATGTGAATGGAACGACACGCCATCCAAAAATTTACAAATCAAAGTGAGTAGATTGTATCCACGCGCCACTCGCTATGTGTGTGGCCCAAAATCAAAGCCATCTGCACCTCACCGATCTCATTCCTTATCCTACCTAATTCGTGCCGCTCCCACTCACCCATTGCAATTCCCTCTATTCACGCTCAAATTGTGTTGAATGACCACTGGCAGCTGCCAGTTCCATCTACATTCGTCCATTTATTGGCGAGTCACAATTTTGCAGCGCTTTTGGGCGGCTGAAGTACGCCGAAAATCCGAAACAAAAAATGTGCGTTATGTGACGCTGGATTTCACTTCAATTGCAGCATTTGTGACGCTCTCAAGCACTTTCATCCGCCTTTTTTCATTAATTTTTCAAATCGGTTTCTATTGCTTCACTTTGTCTCTTCTCTTTTTCATTTTACGCTACGTCATGCTCGTTTGATCGTTGAATGGCTGGCTTTTTTGCTGCTGCTTTGCTTGCTGACCACCACTGTGCTGTCACTTCTATATTCGACTGTGAATTTTCAAATGCCTAAAATTTTAATTTTGCGTGACGACGATGATAAAAAACACAAATTCCACATGAATACAACAACAATGAACGGTTTGAATACATTATAGAACGCCTTACTTTGAAGTGCGTGGGCTGGTGCCCGGTATCGGTTACAATGTATTCCTGGTGGCGCACAATACAAAAGGACGAAGCAATGCAACAATTTTGCAAGTTTATACACTCAAAGATCCTGAAAAACAAACGGGTGAGTTATAAATGATAAATGAATTTTGAATGAGTGGCATACATATTTACACACATGTCGAGGAATAGAATTTATCATTATAACAACATGTTAAGAATATTAGTAATTATTTTTAAGTTTTAGAATTCAATAAAGCTGAAAATTTTAAGAAATAGTACTGAAAATCAATTTTATACATATAAAGCGTCGTTTAAAGTACAAAACTGCGTTACTGACATTTTTTGTCAAAAATTCGATTTGCTCACCGAAGCTCTTGGCTCAAGCCTATCCATTCGTCCTGAAATATACTAGCCAGAAATGCGATTGCTTTATAAAAAAGAGAACAATTTTGAAATATGAGTGTTTTTACTATCTAGAAAATAATTTATACAACCTCAGATACGCGGTTTTGTACTTTAAACGACGATATGTATTTATCTATAAGGTAGATATACGCTATATAAGGTCCTCAGGAAATCTACATTGTAACTTTAATAGCTAAAATAATGTATGTGCGTATGAAGTTGAGCAGAGAGCGAAACCTTTGCACATTTAAAAACCATTATTTACATAAATTATAAATTCCCCATTAAAAGTGTGGGAAACACTAATGCTATCAAAAATAGTTTGCTTTAGCTAGGACTGCTACAATGGTCTGTTTTTGATATATGAATTAAATTTCGTCACCAAAATAAATATTGATGAATATTTATACTTCAACAATATACTGCAATTGTTCAAGCCGAGAGTCGTGATACCAAAAGTGCTTTTCACCTGTCTCGGTGTCTGTAATCAAATCTTGCAACAAATTTTTAAACAACTTGTCGATGAGCCAGAGACTTGAAACTTCTAACTTAGCTCAGAACCCGATGACAATGCAATATGAAAAGTGAATTGATCCACTACATAACTCCACGAAAAATTTATCCGATATACGGTGCGACCCGTATATGTAGACCTTTAAAATCTTTGTGAGAAATTCTAAAAATACAGAAAGGTTCCGAAAACTCGAAAAATAACTTAAGGAATCTTGAAAGATTCGAGTTTTAAATCTTGAGAAAACTAAAAAAAAAAATAGAAGGAAACGAAAAGTCATAAAAAATTAAGATCGAGTCGATGTATCCATCTCGAATGGTACATACTTCTTACCCACTACTAGCAGTTTGCGTAATATACATATTCTTACCTTGCCTCGTCTATCTCATCTGTGGAAGAACATTTTCCATAGATGGACCGAACGTACCATTTATATGTGCTCAAATCGTAGTCCTTAAAACGTTTGCATTGCTCGTCTTTAAAAGAAGGGGTATTTTGAATTTTTCATTAGTAGCAGGTTTCAGGTGGCAGGTCCCAAAACTAGCGCATTATCAGATCCTCTGACCTTTTGACCGCTGCAAACCTATAGACTTCTGAGAATATTTAAATTGAGGTCATCGGAATCGCTCCTAAAGTTCGATATCTTTCTGCCCGCCCCAAAGGTGGCAAACGTTACCCAAGTTCGCAAACTCGGACCCGAGAGTAGGAATTGATTTCAGTCGAGCATCTATAACTGCAGCCAAGAAGATTCACTGGATCCCATTAAACCCCAGAATGTAAATAAACGATTTTTCTATTCCTGGTTAAAATTATTTCTTATGAGTGAAAATAGGCGAGCAATAGTTTCAGGTCAATACAAAGCAAGTTCTGACACGTTTATTATTCTTTGTGAACAGTTTTCAGCACAAACTAATTTTGATTTTTTTTTACGATTGTGTTGAAGTTTGTACGGTCCTTTCTAACATGTCAGGGAAATTGAAGAATAAACTTAAATTGTACTAAAATAAGCCGACAAAACGAGTTCATTTCTCACGTTTATTTGCATAAAAAGCCGGAAATTATAAGATGCTTTACTAAATTAACTTTAATTTTTGAATTTTTTAGTCGTTATTACTTACAAAAAGGCTAAATTTGACACACTGCCACGTTATTATGAACTTTCAACTGTAACTAGTATTGTTTCTACGCAATTCAACCACAGTACAATGACTAAAACAAAAGACAAAAGTAAGAATATCATCTACCCAAAGTTCCCATTCTAGCAATCAATCATACGCATACACACATTCTTCTGTACATATAAATAAGCCTTAGTATGGAAACAAATGTAGTAACCGAGTCCTGTAGTGTTAGCCAATCAGCCACTTTGCATACAAAAGCATACCTAAACAATGCATTAACAATGATTCCTATCTTTTTTTTATCGCTACTCCCGGTAAATGCATACATACATACATACATATGTACATTAGTATCGTATTTTGTCGCTACTGTTATAGACCTCTCACTCGCCTATGCGCCCGTAATCGAGGATATCCGGCCATTTCTCGGCATTCTGGTCGGCATTGTGGCCAGCATTTTCCTGGTGGCGCTCATCATTGTCATCATTGTCCGTATGCGCGGCTCATCTGGACGCGATCGCAATAACTATTCGCATCCATCGGCGGCCAGTGGGCGTGGCAACAATAATGGCAGCGTCAGCATCGGAACACTGCACAATGGTCAATCAATACAGGATATACGCATCGGTCGGGACACCTGCCATGTGACGAGCAGCCTGGATAGTATAGACAAGAATCCGGACATTATACCACAAGGTGGGTTGGTTAGCACAACAAAAGGTATTATAATTACAGCCACTTTAATGTGGGAGCTGTAGGGTGCTAATGCACACAGTTGAGGCGGTACAGTACTTTACACTGCAGCAGCAAATGCTAGAATACTAATCGTGAATAACGGTCATCCTACATACCGTTAATATGTACATTCTTTTATTTTTGCTCTATTTCGTGGGCGCGTATGTATGTATATGTGTTTAGATGGCCGCGACGATGATGAAGAATGGACCACCAAGGGACATAATCGCGCTTATGCAACTGCAGCGTTAGCGGAGCAGAACGCCGTCATCACCTCGTCGTCGTATGATCACATAATGCCAACATATGCCATTGTCGATAAGAAGGCATCGACGAATCATTTGCAACAATTTCAACAGCAGCATCAGCAACAACAACCACCGCCGCCGTCGCATGGGCAGTACATTCACTACAATGCGCTGATGCCAGTGAGCAAAATGGGCGGCTATGCCCAACAACAGCAGCAACAGCAGCAACAGCAGTCGCATCAGCAACAAAACAAGGTACGTACATACCTGAGCAATAAAGCTCAAAGCAAATTCAAACCATGGCTGAAACAAAAGCCAATTGAAATCAAATAGGCCTAACTATTATCGAAGCGCTAATCCAGAGCACAACAAAAGCATGAAATTTTCCAAAGCAATTCCAAAACGACCAACATGGGTTCAAACCAAGTTTATTTATGGCTGCGTGCAGCTTACGCGAGTGGCAGCAGAAATTTATCGCCTAAGCGAACAAGTGTCGCACATTATGTTCCCGCCAAAACGAATGTGTTTGTTTGCATTGATTCGCTGCTATTCGATTTCGTTGTTCTATGGTTTTGCTGCTATTTGGATAATTGATAATCCCAAAGTTTTGGTCATTGTTGGAATGTATTATGCAACGTGAATGCGGTAACTTGTGAATAGTATTCTACAGTGTTCAAACAATAACTTTCCAAATACCGATGCTGGCTGGCTCATTGTGCGAGCGAAATTGATATCTCGTTAAGAATAATGCAGACTTTGGCCTTTGAATTGTAATACTAGAGTTCACTCTTTGATGCGAAATTGTGTGCGTTTGAGTGAAAGTGCGAAAATCGGCAGATTTTTACAACAAACATATAGCACCGTTATGGCGTTGTTTCGCGCAAACGACAGCAAAGTAAAAAATACAAACGCAAATGTTTGCCTTTCGCATTTTCTCATCAAAGAGTGAACTCTACGAATGAGTTATTTTTTCTTTTTTATTATATACATAAAATATGTAAATATATGTATACTAAGGCAGGATTCATGCATTTCAGCAAATTATTCGCAGTCATTTCATAAAATAAATTCCTTTACAATCCAAATGCCCTAATAAGATCAGCAAGATGTGAAGTAAAGAGTTGGTAAGCGTCTTATATTTTTCATATGATAAGCCGCTCTGGACATTTCATTTTGTCGCCTCTTTATCTATGTACAGCGCAGAAAATATGAATAGGGAAGAGACACTTTAACATTCTTTGGCTATTTCCCTTTCCTTTATATATTGTTTATTATTTTTTTATGGAAGTGTTTATTTATTTATTTTTTGGTCTAATAACAATTATATTCAAAAAATTTTATTGAGCTTGAGGCCGTTTTAATGAATTACTAAAAATCAACGTGATTTTCCAACGTCAAAAATTTTCACTCTCTCCTACTAAAATGTAATGGGCATAAAACTGTATACATAAAAGTTTTGTTAAATTTCTAAATCAAAAGTTTAAAACTTCTGGGTGTAATTGCTAAAGTTTGTTGAATTTTTATAATTTTTATGCGAAGTTTAAAATGTGGATTTATATCGAGCCCTGAGCGCCAAAACGATGTAAGCGAAATTTTTTTCAGATTTTTTTTTTGGTTCAGAAATGTTCCTAGAGTATCTAGATACATTTATGCATTGAAAATATAATAAACAAAAACTGTCGCTTACATCTTTTTGGCGGTTAGGGCTCGATATGATGCTGATTATGTAATGTGCTAGACTTTAGTAAAATAAAAATAGCCAAAACTGGTCAAAATGTCACTTAACTTAATCAGCTGACCACAAGTGTAATTCCGCAAGCCTTTGCATGACCTCCACCCTTTTGACATATGCATGTCCCCTTATACTGTTGGCCGCCACAACAGGACACCATAGAGAATTATTGATTTACCGTGTAGATCAATCGCACATTTTCTACAAGCGTATTTTTAACACTCTTTCTATTGCACATTCAAATCCACGACAGTTTAAATTAATAAATTGCACTTAAAAGTGGAGGCACCTACCCCCGGTAAAGGAATAATATATACTATATTTCAACTTCAACAAGCTAAATGAAAAACCTATAATAGATCTTTGATTTTTTTTCCTATAATTGTATTCAATAACTATATCAAAAGAATATAAAAAAACTTTATAAATATTCATTGGTTTACACCAAGATAATTTAATTGTACCATTATGTTAATATTTTTACACAAAATATTTATATGTGCAAAGCATCGAGCTGTAGGTTATCGATTACTTTAAGAAAAGTTTTAACGATAGTGTTATTTGTTAGTATTTGATTGTATTTCTTTTGCTTTGTAACAGTGTAAACAGAATCAAATCGCTGAGCGAACTTCTTCGGAAGAAAGTTCGCTGCCAAAATTAAAACACACTGCAGTATATGAGATTGCACACATCCAAAGCGGTAACGAATTTCGTTTGACGCCATATCATGCATGGCCGTAATCGAACATAATTAATATTTTTTATTCTATACTCCATTACTATATATATATATATTATATATTCAGAGTTTCATCCATATGTATATACATTAGACTGCATCACTCCCCATACAAAAAAAAATCGGTGCTATTTTTCCATTGGAATTATAAAATCTATTATATTTTAAGACGTCCACCAAAATATTTCGAAAAAATATTAATATTTAAGTGAGCTGGACCAATTTCAAAACACCTCCAAAAAAGGAAAGGATGAATAAAAATTGTTTCTTAAAATTTTTTTTTGAAAAAATCCCCTCAAATGACAAAACGATTGAAGCTTAAAAAATTTGCATAAAAATATTCTTAAAAAATTAAAAAAAAATTTGAACGGAATCGTAATGAGGAGATTTTTGATGCTGTTTTTTAACTTTTTATTTTTATTTTATTTTTAAGATTGGTATAAGAAAAACTTGAATAACTGAGCCTAAACTCTTCTGATTTAGACTTAAGAGGTGTCGGTGGAAAGGTACTTTCCCACCCTTTTTATTTATTTGCTAATAAACTCATTCAAAGGATGAAAGAGAAAGGTAGGACGAACGAACGTCATTCAAAGTTGAATTAAGATGTGTTGGTGTTTGAAAAAAAAAAATTGGGACACGAATGACTTTTTTTGGACAGAAATAAAAACAGTGTGAAAATACCTTTCTACCGAGAGCCCATAAGTCTAAATCAGAATAGTTTTTCGTAAATCAATCTTTGAAAAAAGTAATAAAACAGCTTCAAAAATCTCATTCTTACGATTCCGTTGAAAAGATTTTTAAATATTTTTATGCAGATTTTTTAAGCTTAATCTAATTTGTCATCTGAGGGGACTTTTTTCAAAAAGTTGTTTGCGAAACTATTTTTATTCATAAAAAACTCCATTTTTGGAGGTATTTTCAAATCGGTCCAGCTCACTTAAATCTTAATATTTTTCCCAAATAATTTGGTGGACGTCTTAAAATATAATAGATTTTGTAATCCCGGCGGAAAAACCGCAACTTTTTTTGGTGATGCAGTCTAATATACATATGTACTTAGATATCGTTATTCAGTAAGCCAAATCTGCAATACATGCCCCAAACCTACGAAATTTCAGAGCTTTTTCTCAAAGACATTATTATCTCTAAATTGCATTTGTTGATGTAAAGAGCTCATTGCTGTATAACAGCCGAACGAAATGATCAGCATTAGCGCTGCTCAGCGCGGTTTAACATGATTTATTAAAAATTCCCGAAAAGCATCTATAATGCATGGGGCATGGTGCAGCAAGCCAACAAATTGTGTGCGTCTACGCTGAGCGAGTTTATGTACAAGTATTTATGTACGCGTATATATGTGTGTATGTACTTTCATGTGGGCCACTACTACCGTCGAACAGGAAATGAGAAAATCTTCGAATTTTGTTCCTATCTGGTGGAACCGCTAGCCGTTGTTCTAATGTCCGTCTCAAAATGCAGTTACACTTACTTGTTGTTTTAGTACATGACATACGCAGCTACATACATACATATAGATATTGAATGTGTTAGTAAGTACCTAAGTATGCGAGTGTTAGAGTGGTATAGCTAAATGCATTTTCAATCACTTCACAAGGCAACAAAAATGTGACCAAAAGAACATTACCAGCATCATTGCGGCAACAGTTTCAATGCTCTGTATTGGGATATGGGTGTAGGGGGAAGTGAAAGCGCCATTGTCGACAGCCATACTTGGCGAGATGCGCCATAGCTTGAACGCCCTTGTTTATTGCGCTCATAATTTCCACGGTTAATATCGCATTGTTCGCTTTGGAAGGATATTTCTTGCGCAGTGCTACGCCATTTCCTTTCTCTCTATCGACTACTGAATGCATGACTGTTGGGAGGATGGCCGCGAACACACTCGATTTTCTATGGTGCTCTTTAGATCGCCACATCCTAAGTGACCTCTCAACGGCACTTCATTTTGGCGCAAAACGTGAAATGTGAAGTGTTTTCACACGCGGCATTTGCAATCCATTTTCCTTTTTGGTGAAAGGTTTCCATGAATGTTAATGAACTACTAAATTCAGTTTCGATAAGAGTCATAAGTATGGTAATGCCAGTAACGTAACTGCAAGTTTAGTTCTACTCAATGCTCGTGTAGTTGGGGAAAAATTACTAATTTACGAGTACATAAAAATGTATCGGAAAAAAATTTAACATATTAAAAAAGTGGACGAAAGACCTTTTTACCTTCAGATAGCGCCACGAAATAAAGAATAAAAAACAATATATAATATAATAAACTAAATAAGAGTTCCTCATATATATAGTTATAAGTACCAGATCCGTCACAACGCAAATGTGCATACGAGTATTATTTGGGTAACACTGTTCACATAACGATTTTTTATACGATTAATAGCCAGCAGTTTCTTAGAAAGTTTGTTTTTGTATATATAGGTATACAAAAAAATAGTTGTTTACTAGTTTTTGTTTTAATGTTTGATAATAAGGCAACCGGCATGGTATCCAACCATATTATACTATGAGCGATATTGGACCAAGGTGAAGGCATATCTTAAATCCATTTACACTAAACAACGCTTGCTTACTTTCCATAAATTATCCTCTTCGATACTCAATACCAAAAAGTATGTTATCAATTTTAACTACACAACAAAAGGGACTATACAAACCTTATATAAATCAATATACAAATTCGAAAGTTATGAATTTTCTAAAAAAAGGTCCTAAAATTACTTCCATGTAATTTCACAGAAAATTTGAATCGGTTGGATTGGATTCCCTTTGAGGTTTCAATAGAATTGTTGAAAAAGTAAAATAAAACAAAAAGTTTTATAACTTCATAAACTGTTGATTGATTTTAACGAATGGTACCTAGTTTTACGCGGTATTAATCACTCCTTTCGAATTCGGAATTTTGGTAAAAAAAATGTTGTAGAAGTGGAAAAACTAATAAAAATTGGTGTAAATTCAGATTTGATCCAAAAGTTTTCCACGTACTTACAATTTCCTCACAAAACTTACTACATATTTTTTTAAATAGTCCAAATAACAAAAATAAAAAATAACCGAACTAAAAATTGTCTAGTGCTGGAAGCCATGTATAAATGTTTTTTTAAGAATAAGTTGAAAATTTGAAGGTGCTAGAAAAATTTAAAAAACAGTTTTGTGAATTACTCGGCCAGCTGTACGATCTGAACTGGGTCGCTTAAAAAGTTCGTTCAATTCTTTTATATTTTCTAACACCGTGTAATTTGATACCTGATTATTCGGCATGATCCGTAATCCAAACAAGAGTCCATGAAATAGATAAAAAGAGGAGCAAAGCCAACAAAGTAATTTTAAATGGAAAAATCGGCGTGGAAGGTTATGGTAACCACTTTTTCGTATAGTGAGTGGACTTTAATTGATTAAGTACTTGCCTAAAGGGACCACAGTAAGCTAATTTACATACAGCGGTGCAAGTTAACGCGCCTCATACGGTTTCTGCAAGACAATACGGCCATTTACACCGCTCGAGTTGTGTGAGATGTCTTAAAAGCTAACTTTTTTTAAGTTACGGCCGAGGTAATGACAAATAAATACCAAAAAGGATTCGAATTTTTTCTCAAAATAAATATCAACGTTTTGATGCTGAGAAAATTCCTGAAATTCTCATAAGGCTCACACCTGTGGGGTAGATAACTTCATGCGATGGGAGAGGGATCAAGGGAGTCGATTATTTTTTATCGATTTTTATGAAAAGTTAATTCAAAGTATTGATTAACGACTTTAATGGAAAGGATGGATTTTTTTAATTCCAAACTTACAAAATTCGAAAGGAAACTATAAAATTACCAAAACAGCAACGCGGGTCGAAACATGTGTCTTATAAGTACTTGCATATGTGACTTGTGTAGGTCGGTGTTATTCGTACGGAGGATTTTCAGTTGGTGTAATGTAAAAAGACAGTATGCGGCGCACACGCTTTGGTAAATGCTGTTTCACCTAAATTTTGTGCTTAACAGTCACCTTTTTTTAAGAAATATGGAAAAATGTATACATAAATACTATAATAGTTATCGTAGCTGTGTTTTTTCAATTGTTTAAATAACTCTCCATGCAGATTCAGGTTTGCCGCAAATGTAGACTTCCGGTCGTCTACGCAGGTTTTCAATCCTAAGAACATGAAGGTTAGTGAACACAATTCAAAAAATTTCCTACAGAATTTTTTAGACTGCAGGTGTTCTTTAAAGTCATGCAAAAGATATAAAATTTGTATAAAAGTTGTGTGAACTCTGCTCATAGGCCTAGCATTTTCAATAGATTTTCTATTGAAAAAAATATTTTTTTACACATTTAGATTTTTTAAATTTAGTTACTCTTTAAGCACTTTTTTTCAGAACAAAATTTAAATTTTTTAAGCGCAGATAAATTTTAAAACCTGCTTGAGAAAATGCCACACAGCAAATTTTACCGTGAGAGTCTGCTTATAACACAACTTTCAGACCTGTTCAGAGCACAAAAAATATCTGATCGCTTGCTTTACCGACTTTGATAGATTTCTGTCTTTACAAACACAAATATTTGGTACACTGTAATTATATTACCATTTTTCAAGATTCAGTTTTCAACCCTTATGAAATCACTCCAGTTACATAATCTTCATATAAAACTAGGACCTTTAGAAGATGTCATGCTCTAGATTTTAAAGGAGACGATGGCAGTTCTCCAAGGTGTGTGTGTCTACTATTGAAGTTGCTTCTACCCGCCGAGAAAACCTACAGTATATTTTTTAAAGAGTCCATTGTTACTAAGAGGAAATTATAATTTTTGCATGCAGTCAGATAACCAGCGAGGATTGCTACGGCTTACTTACTAAGGCTAACAGCCACTCGCGCAGGCAGGAAATAAATGAAACAAACTAGGAATGGGTGTGTACTTTTGGTAGTTTATTTGAGTGCATTATTACATACTCGCTCTTCAAAACTCAACGCTAAAAGACATGAACTTGAACACTGAACACTCATAGGCCCGTCCGCCTATGATACTCGTTTGCCATGGCGTATGAGCTATCTCTCAATATCGGCATTTAGTCCAGTTGAAATAGAAACTTTAATGGCAAAATTCACAGTGCGCTGTTAACTAATGAAAATAGTTTAACTATCGATTTTGATACTCAAAGTGCTAAGATAATACGAGTTTAAGCCAGCATGCTCCAATAGTTAAACTCTTGAGAAATTTATGTTTTTTTGTGGAACCAATTTTAAATTTATATGAAAAATATTGATTTTTAGAATTTGTATATTTTCAGGCGAATATAAATTCATAGTTAAACCCTGGCTGGTGGTGAAGTTGACAATAGTTTAACTAAGCACTGTGAATTCGGACTTAAGCCGATGTAACTTTTTAGTTTATTAAAATGTTTAATTTTATGAAAGGTTGTGTTTAGTAGCATAGAAATTTAATTATAAGAATTAGTAGACTTAGGACCCACTCTGGGTCGAAGATGCATAGAACTCGAAAATATCTTTTCACGACATATCACACTTTAAAAGTAAGTAATAAATAAAATAGGTCAAGCTGTTTTTACCACTCGCCAAGAACGAAAGTTTGTATGACACCAACCTCCTCTCAAAGAATGCTTTCACTTCGAAGGCTAAACAGGTAATGAAAATTTAATGACAAGGTGGTCCTAAAGTATATTGGACAGGTGGTATCAGTAGATCAGCTGATTTGATTTTTTTTAATACCAAGTGGTCTTTGAAGCGTAAAGTATTGTTTATTACTTTTTAAGAAAAATTTAGAATTGCCAAAATATGTTTTCATGTGAAGCCTTTACTTTTACAAAAATAAGCGATTTCAAACCATCTCTTGGAACATTCTATTCACATCAGAACACAAACGCTGATTATTGGGTCTAGCAAAAGACTAATCGATGATCTTGGAAGCAAAATCCTTTAACCAAGAGAGTGGCGCCCATTTTTTTTAACTTTTTTTATATATATGTATATGTCACTGTCGGCCCCTGTAGTGTGGTGGCGAGCAGTGCGCGCTTCCACTCCGCAGCGCCTGGGTCAAGCCCTGGTCCGAGTGCATTTTTGCCATGAAAAACAGTTTCTCATAAAAATACAATCGCTGTTCGAAGTCGGCGTGAACTGTAGGTTCCTCCGCTTTGTGTGGCAATACTAAGCCGCACGCCACAAATCGGAGGAGAAGCTCGGCCGCCAATCACTAACATGTATGTGTAAGCGCTAATCTGTTTATTATGTATATTTGCACATGCATCGTATTTAAAAAAGCTGAATATCTTTTTGATACTTTAAAGACCAAAAGCAATAACAAAATACATGTAGATGTCGATTTTACTCAACGCTACTACCAGTTTCATACGCCCTGCGTGGTCGTATTTATATTTTTGATTATTTCGGGTAATTCGCCTGTGATATTCAAACATAAACTTTGTAATCTCGATGCTTTATATTTTTTAATTCTTTCAATCCATATGGGAGAAACCATTGTACGGCTCCAAGTTGCATAAAGCTTCATACTTTAATTATTTGTTCCACTTCGTTATAAATATAGTCTCATAAATTTTAAAACAATTTCCTTTTAAAATATGATCTTCTTTCTTCTTCACCATTTTTATAGACTGATTTAACCTACGCCGAATTGGCTGGTGCGGCTAGCGGTGCACGCATGGCACCCTATTGCAGCGCCACACTGGGTCGTCCGCGACAAATGGAGCTGAAGCGGGCCGAACCGAACATCTACTCACAGGTAATAAAAATGATGGACGATGATAGTCCGAATGAAGAAATTGGCATACAATGGCCGATAACAAGAACAGCAACACCAATAGCAGCGCATCCATTAGTGCAAGCAGCGGCAGCAACAACAACGGCAGTGGCTTTTGTGGCTGGACGTTCGACCCGGGTGTGAATGATAAAACCGATGAAGATATAAAACAATAAACAGCATGAGTATTAATACAGACATATGCATATACACACATACATATATGAATGTTCAGTAAAATTTTTCAAAATAAGAGCAAGACAAATGGGATAAACCAAACTAACTACTAATATTTACTTACATACATACATATAGGTCAAGTGAATATGATTTTAATTGAATCTGAAGCAATAAAAAGAGATTAATTTATGAGTAGTTATGTCCGTATGAATCACGAAGGGCTTAAAATGAAAATTTCTGGGGACAAATGGAATAAAGTATTTTGAACAAAGGCAACTTAGTGTGAATTGTTCAAGAGCAAATATTTATGAACTGATTTACCTTGCTATGGTTGAAATGCACTGATATTACAACACACAACCAGAGTAAAGTGATTTTTCTGCCATTTATCTAAATGCCATCCCAATTGCTGAAAATAGTAGTCCTTGTCTGCGTTCGTGTTCGTGTTTGGCTACAAAACGGAAGCTCCCATTGAACTTGATGGCGATGATATCCTGATCAATGCAAAAAAAAAAAAAAATTGACTGCATATAAATTGTGATTGCAAGGATATCTGCAACTAAAATAAAATCGTAAAAGTAAACTAACATATACATTCATACATACGGGTATATATAGATATGTAGGTATGTATTTTACCGCTGGTAGAGTGGTATATGGTGAGCAACTATTCACATACACCTATATTTATTTTCATTTCCGTATAAACTCATAGCACTATATTCCACTTTAGTGTAAATTTATTACATTTTAAATGGCGGTTAGTATACTCAGCATAAAATGAAAATTTCAAAACGACGCAGATATTACGGTAATTTCAATCGCATACAAAAAAACAACAACAAAATCCAAATTAAACGATTATTCTTAATTGAAAAAATAAAATAAAAAAAAATTACGACCAAATTTGATAAAAAAAAAAAATAAAAATCAAAAAATAACGAAGATAGTACACCGAAAATATAAAACTCCAAATTTAAAGATTAAACTTTAGATACAAAAGATCAAATTTGACCGAAAAAATAAAAATCCAAATTTAATGATTATTTTTGATTGAAGAAATACTTAAAACAAAAAAATAACGGGTTTGAAATTATCTAATAATAATCATCTTGGTATTTAAGGATTGTTTTCAGGCTCTGTCACATACCTTTCAAGAATGATAATGGGTGGAATATTCTTTGTTTCTTGCAGAAATCAAGTTAAAGGTGATAGGTGCTATTATTATGTTATATAAAATTTGAGAAAGCAATACCTTCGATTTCTTGCTAGAATATGTCGCAACTAATGCTAAAAGCGATAAATCCTATAAGAAAAGTTAAATATTTAGATAGTAGTTAACTGTGATTATTGAGATTGTTAGTAGATTATTTTATCATCATTGCGATACAAAGATTGGAAGCTTATTTAAATAAATTGACGATAGTCGTAAAGTGAAAGTTTTTATTTATTTATTTATTTATTTCACACCACGGTTCTATGCAAATATGAAAAATAATTTAATAATATTATTTTTTAGCGAGCTAAGGTATTTAGACCGTTTAAAACTATGAAATTATAAAATCTCGTCCGAAAACTAGGTATTCGAAAGATATCAATCCCTCTAAGTTTACCTTAAAATGGAATGGTTCCAGGGATACGTCGCGTGAACGTTTAACCTTCTGACAGGAGCCACGGCGGGTTGTTAATAATTCTAATTCAAATTCAGTAGCCTGGCTTTGATAAAATACCAATTCTCAGTACTGTAGCTAAATGCCTCACTAGGTAGGTGCATCATGAGAGCTTTAGATTATATGGCCGAAGCCGGCTCTCCCTTTTCCATTAACTGAATTTTTTTCTGTCAGTACGGCACTGATAAAATAAATCTCCATAATAAATTTAAAATATTTCAAGAGATTTTCTATTCTTCCCGACATATGTATTAATAAAGTTTTTGTATTTTTAATAACTCACATTTTTTCCATGAGCAATAGATACAATTTATACATAACTCCATTCCAAGTTCCTGTATTCTTCCACAAACACTTGCAGGGGTATGTGGCAAGAAACAGTCAATTTTTAGGGGAAGTGCCATGTCCCCTTTTCTTATAATCCTAATTTTCTTCCATGAGTATGGAATTGATTTTATATTTCCCAGTATCGAGTCCCAGTACTCTACCATAAACACCTCGAGATATACGCAGCATAAAAAAAATCAATCTGCATGGTAGTTGCCACGCCCCCTTGTCTAATAACCCTAATTTTTCTCTTTGAGTATGGGATTGGTTTCACATACATACATATAAATAAATATATCTCCATACCGAGCTTAAGTACTCTACCCCAAATATTTGAAGAGATATGTAATATGAAACTTTCAGTTCTCTCCCACAAATACTTCCTGAGATATGTATGTATATACATATGTATTATGAAAATTCCAATTTGTATGGGAGGGGCCTTGCGCTATCGGAATTAATTTCAGTCTAAGACCAAAATTGCCAAATTTAGTTTTGATCGGGAAGCGGTTTAAAAAGTAGCCTATTTTTCAATCCAGTAGCTCGTTTCTGTAACTCTTCTCTACCGATTATTTCTCTACTGGTAGAGAATATACGTCATTCTCTACTACTCATTAGCAGTAGAGAACAAGGCGGCGAATTCATATCTCAATTCGCCTTGGTAGAGAATTGTTACAGAAACGAGCTACAGGTCATAAACCATCTGTGTACAAAATTTCATTTTCAAACAAGTGGCAAAAAAGGCTGCCAACTTGGCTCAAACGGTGTAATTTTGGCCATATTTTACTTCGATTGGCACTTAGTTTTTCAATTTGACATAAAAGGGCACTTTTAAAAAATAGTAATTCAATACATTTCAGTGAAATCCTTTGCGTGAACTTCTTTTTCTCAACTAAAATGTTCTTATTTCTATAGCTTATACAACTGGTTTATCTTACTTTGGCATTAGACTTTTGTTTAAAGAATGTGTGGAATTAAAAAAATTACACCTTTTTTGCACTTTTATTTTTCTATTTGGCACATTTTGGCACTTTTCTATCCTCAATAAGGCAATACATAGCTAAATATAGTTGGCAGCCCTGGTGGCAACCATCTTGAAAAATATCTTCGAAATTAAGCTCGGGCAATCGGTTTGGTCAAAACCGCTACTGCAGTGAAAAATGCAAGTCGAGCTGCAGAAATCAATTTTACATATTTTCCAAACATGGCATTTAATAGTTAAGGCCCTTAAGAAAAAAAAATTTATTATCTATTGCATAGAAACACTAACAAAATGTACGAGCGGCATAGTGCAATAAACAAGCGCCTGTCCACATAGAACTTTCGCGCTGGCGTTGGCGTTGGCGTTGGTTTGACAAAACGCACGTTAAAAGTATGCTTGCAACAATGAGCGCTTGGCAGCGAATGCTTTGACCACTAAATTAATAGACTAACGACAGATAAGTTAATATTTCACATCAATAATTGCATGAAAAACGATATTTCGTGCCCACATTTGATTAAAAATTAAAAATATTTAACATCATTTTATTTATTTGCAACAGCTGATTGACAATGCGCGCACAAAGATGAGAGATGCCAATTTTTTTGTATGCGTTAACTTTGGCATTGGCGTTGCCGTTGATATGTGGGCATGTCCATATAATTTAGTCTGTTCCAATAGCAGTCCGGTTTACAGGATTTAGTCAGAACTTACAGGAAGTCGTTCCTATTGACATAAAACCTGTAAGTGGGAACACATTTGAGAGAGTAACTGAGCAACTGTTCCTAGACAGAAGTTACAGGATTTAGTCCGTAGTTTTTTTTCCTGTAAGTTCATGAAAAGTGTCAAACGATCAGCTGATTTACATGTGCAAACAAAAACAGAAAGCGGCGAAAGCAAAGAACCTTATATTTGTTAAAAAATGGAAGTAAACAACGAAATATTTGAATATGTATAGATTTTAATAATTATTCAGTGATATTTCAGCCAAATCAGTGTAGTACCAATGACATGTAAACAAACCGTCTGACGTTTTTACAGGAAATAGTGCTTTTGCGTTCCTATGCACTTCTGCATCTGTTCTCCTTTTACTCTCATTTGAGAGCGTAAAATTGTAGTTTGACAGTTCCACAGGTTTTAGTCCGAAGTTCAAAGGAAGAGACTAATTGTGTGTATTTATAGTCAGCTGTAAATCAACGCCAACACCAACGCCCACGCGAAAGTTCAATGTGGATCGGCCTTAAGAAGAACACAACTAAAGAAAAGCTACTATTGTGGCACACCCAAATATAGCGCGCTGCGTTTAGTTTTGCGGCGTATTAAAGTGCAGAGGTATAAACAAACCAAAACTGCATACAACTGGTGAGATAAAAACAAAAACTAAAGCCGGCAGTGCCTTGCACGACCTAACACTTTTTTTGCACAGTAGCAATCACTTCTTTTCCTGCATTTTGCTCGCATCCAATTGCAATCATTGCATCAACTTTCTACACCTGTTTGTCTGCGCAACTGTGAATGGCAAACTCCATACACGGTGCTTAGCTGTTTGCCTGTTATTGCGGTCTGATTGCGGGTAACACGAAGCGCTATGCTGAAGAAAAATTTCTAGTTGTTCCCACAGTATCCCCATCTATGCCTTGGTTGCGTGCTGCTCTTTGCTTGCTTTTCATTTGTTTTTGCCCATAGCATTGTGTACAGTGTTTGTTGTTTTTATTTTTGCTGTAATATGAGCACATAATACTGCTGCTTGGCAAGTTAAATTGCAATTGCAGTTGTCCTTCCATGTCCTTTTGCTCCCACAACGACAACTCCCACAACCTTGC